GAGATTTGTAATGATCACATGCCTAGGAATATTTACTTGATTTAAAGTGGAAAGTTGGGTTAAGAAGTTTAACCATTCCTTCATATCACTGGAAGGAATTGGACCAGACGATTTTAATTTTTGTCTCCACAGATTTTGAAGAAATATCTTTGCCCTTGTAATCACTGGACCAATTAGTCTGAGAGGATCAACAGGTTGCTATAGTGATAGACATCTTTTTGTGAAACTTGCTTTGATCTATATTACCTTAAAGGTTTTAATTATCGAATTACCTGCCCAAAGCATGACGAAGAGTTTTCACGAGATGGGAAACTGAAGAAAAGTTATATTCAGTAGCCTTGTTGTCGTTAACAGTCTGGATGGTTTGAAACCCATTTATAACTGCATGCCAGCCTTGTTCAATAAATTTATTAATTAAAATTGCAAAGGAATTGTCTTCTAAATTTTCTGAACCTGATAAAATATCATCCACGTAGACATCGGTAAGTAAAAGTGCGGAAGCACAGGGAAAACACCCTTGTTCCTCCTCAGCTAAAGCTTTTAAAGTTTTAGTGGCCAAATACGGGGCACATGTTGTACCATATGTGATTGTTCTCGGTCTGTAAGTTTCAGCAGGTGAGCATGAACTTGATTTCCATAAAATTCTCTGCAGTTCTCTATCAGTTTCTTCGACAAGAATTTGCTTGAACATTTTAGTAATGTCTGTGCTAAATACATATGTATGTGTTTGCAAACGAGTTACCTCTGAGAATAGATCTTGCTGCACAGTTCCACCATTGAGTAATAAGGAGTTGAGACTTACTCTATTTGCGCACTTAGCTGAGGCTCAAACGATGCAAAGAGGGGAGAATGCTTTTGGACGGAAATGCGTAATGTGGATGCAATAATTTTCACTACAGTTCTTGCAATTGAAGTAAACCTTTTCATATGATTTACGCAAGATATTCATCAGAATGCTGTATATAAAGCGGACATAGTTTGATTTTTGTCCAATTTGTTCCAGAGCAAATTTAGACGTCTTTCCATCATTGATTTAGATTCTCCTAAAGTAGAGCATTTGCCTTCCTTAATGAGTAATCTAACATTAAATCTTCTAGTGTCATCGTGCTTGTAAGTGGCCATAGAATGTTGCTCACAATATTCTCTTTCAAATGTTTGAGAATCATCATTTGTATTATCTCCTGGAAAGGATTCAACTTCAAAGAAATTTTTAATAGAATGTTCTAAAGAATCCTCTTCAGAAATACACGTAAGGCCAGTAAAATTGTAAAAAACTGTATTTCCGTGACCAAATACCCAAAGACACTGTTCTGAAACATTAAATTATTGTCATATTATTTGAATCTTCCTTGAGTAATTCAAAAAATACCTCATAACCGATAAGTAAACTGATTTTACTTAGAATGTAAAATGTAGGGTCAGCTAATTTTAAATTCACGAGGTATACAAATATTAGAAATGTCGATTTTCTTCATAGGTGTTAAATCTGTGATTTTAAGTAGCACAAGAAATGATAATGTTTTTGAAAAGTTACCTTCATCATTAGAAATTTTTGCTTTACTTTATGTTTTATAAAATATTCTCCTCTGTTAATTCCTGAAATAGAGGAATTAAATTTTTCTTTCTTTAATCCCAAAATATGAGCCACTTCTTGTGTGCATATAGAAACAGAACTTCCGCTCTAAAATTGCTTTACTTTTTTTTTTGCTAATGAATTCTCAATAAATAAAACAAGTGATAGAAGGCACGATGGTAGGTACATTTTTTTTTGATTGTTCGCTACACAGTGTGATGAGTCATCACTATGAGCGGAATATTTCGAGTTTTTATAGCGTTAGAAAACGGAATGTTTCCACACCTGAATGAATGCACCGAGGTTTTTATTTATTGACGAGGGGAATATTAGAAGCAGTGAATGGTGATAGTTTTTCAAACAATACAAACTCTCTTAGACTACAATCTAAACAGAAGGCCTACTAAGCAATATACAGAGTTATTAGTTTTAACCAAATCTGTCTGTTAATTTCATTTCTTTAAATTTATTACAGTGATATAATGGATGATTAGTTTGGGTTTTACAAGCTACACATATTTTGAATGAATCATTAGAATTGACGATAAAGGTTTTCGATGGTTCGCAAATGTGCTTAGATGGAGTGTTGGTGTTAACACTAATTAGAACTTGACATCTTCTTTCTAAAAATTGTAAAAAGTTATCATCTGGTTAAAATCTGGGACTTCATTGTCCTTTAACGTGAACTCAAATTGTTTTCTTGTTTTTCTATTTTTTTCGAGAACAACATTTAACCATCCAGCACGCGCGTATGTGCAAAATTTACAACAAATTCAGTTTTTAATGCTCATTTTTCGCATATCGAAGCTAAGACGTCTGTAGGTCATTTCTATTCCTCCTTTCTACCCTTCCCCACATCATGGAATGTGACACAGGAATATTGACTTTTTTAACAGGCTTTTGTGTACGTCGCACTTTTCGAAAAATTACGACATGCATGGTCGTTTTTTAAAATCATAAATGTTTTTTTCTTAATTATTTTGTAATTTTGTGTTATTATTGCCGGTTTATTTTTAATGAATACATTTCACTCTTAAATTTTATATGGTTTTCATGGCAAAAATATATGTGCGACCAGCTGATTTTGCTAGGATTTTTCAAGAATATCTGATGAAGAAAAGGAAACTTTGGAGGGAGGACAATAGCATTTTCATCCTTATTTTCTTTTATTTGTATTTTAGAAATAAATAAAAACATTAAAATTAGTTTAACGTGCGTTTTGTAACAGTAAGAAGTAAATTTCCTGCAGAAGTAAGTACCAATGTGTACTATACTTGTCGATGAATATTTAAAAGCTATAATATAATATAATAATAAAGTTAAAATTTTCTGAATGAAATATCATGCATTTCATTCATTAAAAAGAACTTAAAAATAATTTACTTATATTTGAATGTGATATCATTTGTATTTTGCAATAATAAGATTAATATTGTATTTCGTAACTAGTTTATTATCAATATTCACTCATTTCTGTCGTTTTTCGTGCCCAAAACATTAAAAAAAGGGATGTATGCTCATGTAAAATTGCCAAAGCGCTCATGCTGGAGGTTAATAACAAGGCATTAGAAAATTTGTGTCTTTTGAAATCTAAAATTTCCAACGATCTAAGATTTTTATTTAAATTATCTAGCAAGTTTCGAAGTTCTTTGGCTGACTCATGTTTGATCGTCTGAAGATTGAGAATGTTTTTAATGTGACAGTCAATAATAATTCTTTTATTTTTCGTACCTTTGCTTTAGAGCCTTGAATAAGGAATTGTAACTATCATCTGAAATTTCTATAATTTTTGCTTCTTTTTATGGCCATGAGATATGAAGCTTTTCGTTTTCAGAAAGCTCGAATTTTGTTATTTAGACTAACAAACTGATTTTTAAACAAGTTCCACCCTCAAATTTTCGTGAAAATAGGAGAGGGGATTTGGAAAGTTTTTGATATAGCTTCAATGATTTATTGCTGATCAAATAAGTAGACTGTAGTGTTTTTTTTAGATAAGCAGAATTATTTCACAATTTAGCTATTAATCAAGTTTTTAGATTACCTCTGAATTTTGAAGTCTTCACTATCTGCAACAGCGTTTTTTTAAATTTCTTCAAAATCTTTTTCGCTGAGGATTTTGTAATATTCTTCCTTTAAAACATTGAATTTTTCTTGAAGTTTCGAAATCACATCCAACTGAGCTTGTAGCTCGGAGATATTTTTATCATCACATACGGTACTCTTCTTTAGCTGTCCTTTTATATTGCCACATTTGTGATTCAGCATTGTAATGGCTGATTCAGTCGCCATTCTTCTTAAAATTTGAACTGCTTAACTTAACGCACTGGTAAGACCTCCGGGTCGTTAGGACCAAATAATAAATGTTACGAAGGTTTGATTATGAAATAGTAGACTGTAGTTTAAAAAAGGAATTTATTTTCAATGCACAGTTTGCATTGGACAACTTGTTACACTCTGCTGGAGCTCGAGCAGATACAGAGATGCTATTGATACATCCACTCCGCTAGAGGATGTACCTAGTTATTAGTGGTGGCGCTACGGTATACATTACATAGCAAAGAAAAAGAACTTTCACCACCTTATGCTGAAGCATGTGGCTGGCTGCACAAAATGTTGTAGGGTCTTATGTAAACACTATTTTGCAGAGATAAGTGGATTATAATGTTTGATGAAGCATGGGTTTTTTCTAAATCACTGCAACCAGAAAAGTCTGTTTATTACTGGCAAACAGGATGATGTTTAAACTTGTTCTGAAGATGTAAAAGAAAATTTCACTAAGGGTCATATGATTGTTTCAGGTTTCTCCTATAATGAGACATTAAAAATTAGGAAAGTAGAAAAAATATGTTAAAATCAACTCGTCATATTATCAGGAAAAGTGTTTATGTCGAATATTTGCAGATGAAATTCAGTTACTTATGTCACTGTCTTTCAGAGGGTAAAGTTGCACTAAATCAAAGCCACTGATCATACTTCAAAAGTTATTGTTGCATTTGATGAAAAAAAAATGGAGATTGGTACACATATTTATTGCATGTATAATTTTTCAGCATATTTCTGTGAAGTCCTCTGACTTTTCACCTTTGAACTATTGTTCCTTTGGCCCATTGAAAAGAGCTTTAAGCACAAACTTACCATGATTAATGTAGTCTGAAAAGTAGAGAAATAGAAAGCAATATCCATAAAACAGTACAAAATGCCTTTCTGTTATTATGGAAAGCATGATATAGTTCATGGGGGGAATGCATCAGATAAAATATTTAAAGGTATTTACATTTTAAACGTTAATGAAACAGCTCTGAAATTGTTCTAAAAATATATTAATGCCTTCCCTAGTAATTGTATATCTGATATATATAAGATATAGTGTCTCCTACTGCATTAATACTTTCACAGCAGAATGCATAAATATCATCTCTTGTAGATATATTTGTATATGAATTAGGTTTGGATGATATGTTTTTACATTGTATGTAGAGTACTTATTGCCCTGAAAAGAAAAGTGCTGATCGGCATGGTGTTCCTGAGAGTTTTATAATGATGAGTGAGTTGGGAGAAGCAGCAAGTGCAATGTTGGACAGCAAGGTACTTTTTCTTTCTACTGATTAATAAATTTTAGAATGTTATTTTGGAAATCGCAAATTCAATTTATTCTGAAATTTCTTACTGTTTTAACTTATATTACTTAATGAATAGATCATTTGGCTTATAAAGCTACTCACATAGTATTTATATTACTAGCTTTTTGTTATTAATTGAAACTGAAAGAATGAATAATTGTATACTATTTAAAATTCTGCAAATATACATATTGTTCATAAGTTGCATATTCTTCTTAACCTTTCAGTTAATTACAGTTTTACAAAAATATCAAGATTGCATTGATTTCATCCACTTCTCTGATCAGTTCTCTGGCCCCAAACTGCAAGAGTAAGTTTTTTTTTTAAATTTTTTATTTTAATGTGCTTGGAAAAGAAAGTGCCTTGGTTTCTTATGCAAATAATATGATTGCATGTGTTAAAATGTAAAGAAAATAAACAGGAAACGAATTTCATAGCAAAAAACTTAATCTAAAAAAGAGAAATACATCTTATTTAATTTAACAGATGTGTAAAGTAAAAGGTCAGCCATAATTATCATTTAATATTTAAAAACAGTATGTACTAGAATATTCCAGTTATTTAGATAATAAACATATGTGTACAAGTGATACAAATTTAATTACTATATTTAGAATTATCTGCAGTTTCGACAGGAACAGTATGGGAAATGCATTCTTATTTAGAGTTTATACATTTCAGCACATGAAGAAAAGTTTAATAAAATGATAATTAAATTCAGTTTCACGAAAATCATGGCTATAAAAAGTATGGATGACAATAATATAAATTTCAAATGTTACTCTTATAGAATAGTGACACTTTCTGGAAAACCTTTTGCAACATAAGCACCATAGAAAAGAAAGCATGTTAAAATAGCTGTTATTCTGCAATAAGGAAAGAATTCTTTAGGTTCATTGGATGCTCATGTTGTATCTCTGTGTTTGAAACCATCATACATATTGCCACTTCCAGAGTAGAGCTACAGCATATTGCAGAATATTATAACAAATCATCACTCTTACATTAGCAGATCTCAACTGGGCTGTTTGAGTCTTTGACAAACATACCACTACCTCTTGAGAACTGATGAATTTAAAAGGGAATTCTTTTTGGAGCATTTTCGAAAAATGAGATCTAAAAAATCAGTCGTGAAAAATCATCGTGAACACACAGGATTTATGTGTGTATAGGCTTTGGAGCTATTCCTAGTGCTCCTGCTCTTTTCAAATTAAGTCCAGATGATCCAGTATTTTCTATTTGGAGCTACAAGAATTATGATATTCATATTAACAGGCATTAAAGCTATTTTCGTAATGATCCATTTTCCTTTGAAGAAAATCTATTTATCAGCAACCTACAGTAACCAGAACACAGTCATGCTTAAGCAAGGCTGAATAATACGAGGCGTATTCGGAAACTAAGTACTGTTTTGAAAAAAATAGTAAAACAATTTTTTCAAATCCAATTTTATTTTTACATGAAAATACATGTCTTAAACTATTTTTCAACATAGTTTTCTGCCAATGATCAAACACTTGTCATAGCGGGTGACCAGTTTTTGTTTACCATCGTCAAAGAAACTTCCCGCCAGTTTCAATAACCACAACTCCACAGCATTTTTCGTGTCATCGTCAGATCCAAAGCGCTTGCCACCAAGCTCGCGCTTCATGTGCAGGAACAAGTGATAGTCGGACAGCTCCAAGTCCGGGCTGTACGGCGAGTGATCGAACTGCTCCCAATTAAACTGTCGAATTAACGATTGAGTGACACCAGCGGTATGGGGCCGAGCATTGTCATGGAGCAATAAAATTCCTTTACTGAGCATTCCTCTTCGTTTGTTTTGAATGGCACGCCTTAGTTTTGTTAAAGTCTCACAATATTGTGCCGCATTAATGGTTTCACCTCTGGGAAGAAATTCAGTAAGCAAAATGCCTTTCCTATCTCAGAAGACAGTGCACATTTTTTGTGATGACATTGTCACTTTGAACTTTTGTTTTTTCGGAGAATGAGTGTGTCTCCACTCCATCGATTGTTGTTTCGATTCTGGTGTGAAATGACACACCCAAGTTTCATCACCTGTCACAATTTGGTTTAAAAAGTTTTCTCCCTCATCACTGTACCGCGTGAGAAATGTCAGGGCACCACCAAGTCACTTTGTTTTGTGAACATCAGTGAGCATTTTTGGAACCCATCGGGAACACAGTTTGCGATAATTCAAGCGGTTGGACACAATTTCGAACAAAACAGTACGTAAAATTTGTGGAAATTCCTCTGAAAGAGTTGTCATTGTGAAGCGTGTGTTCTCATGAATTGCTTCATCAACTTTACTTACCAAATCATCGGTGACAACAGAAGGCCGACCACTCCGAGTCTCGGCATGGACATTTGTTCGACCTGCATTAAACATTTTTACCCACTTTCTCACCATTCCATCACTTATCGTGTATTCACCGTAAACTTCTGTCACTTAACGATAAATTTCGGCCGGTTTAACATTCCTCGCATTCAAAAATTTAATCACGGCATGAATCTCACAGTCAGCGGGAGAACTAATTGTCTTAAACATTTTGAATGTGCACAGCAAACTGAAAACGCAACATAGAGCAACCAAAATGGCGACAATTGAAAGTCAGTGAACAAGAAAGACTAGTGCGCATGCGCAGGCAGGATGCCTACCACAGTGCTGCGATGGTGCTAGAATGAACCGGTACTTAGTTTCCGAATACGGTACGTATCTAATTTCGAGCATTTTTTTTTTTTTTTTTAAATAACAATGTACTAAAGCTGGACAGTTTAATTGCTAATTCTCATTCAAAATTAGTACCATGTTTACTGTACTTAAATCCATAAAAATGTTGGTATGTTGAATTCATTGTTTGAAATTGTTAACTTTCAAAATTATGCTAACTGAATAAAAACTGATTAACATTTTACTGAATATGATTATTTAGGGAGATTATATCTTGTTCAGCACTGAAACCTACATGCTGCATATTGTAAACAAATTATGAAAGTAAATATGTTTTTTGTTGAGCATATGTCTTTATTCACTATAAAGTCTGAAGATGGTTTAGTGTTAAATTAGTATGAAATTTATTTAGCTGAAAACCAGAAGTTATGAGTAATCAAAAGGTTCGTGGCAGGTGAAATGTCCTTGGACATTTCGAAAGAATATTCGACAAGGCATGATATTAGAATCTGGAATTGCTTTTTAAGGATAGAAATAGTTTGTTGTCAAGATTTATCTGAGGGTTACTGCAATATCTGAAGACTATTACTTGTGTTTTGGGGGATAACTAAATCATTACACTACTGCTTCTTAAGCTTGCATGTCTGCAGAGCTGTGATTGTGGAAGCAATATAAGCATGCGAGGGGTTTCACCAATTTACAGTGGCTCCCAAAAGTGTTCGTACACTTATGATTTTCATTGAAGTAGGGCTCTATTCATTAATTAAAAATAAATTTTCCGAATGAGATTTTAATAATAAGATCTATAATCTATTCGTAACAAAATTACGAATTACTTTTAATTAATGGATAGAGCCCTATTTCAATGAAAATCATAAGTGTACGAACACTTTTGGGAGCCACTGTATGTGTTCATACTCCTTCACGACATTCACTGTGTTACTCTCAAGAGTTGGGTAAATTTTATAAAGGAGAAGGTTAAATGAGTACCCACGAATGCATGGATGGCAGAATGTGATAGAGAATTTTTGCTAGATTAAAGGTAGGCCAGTCATGAGCACATGTCTCAGTGTAACACCAAGTATCATCTGCACTTTGTGAAAATGGTTTTATGATACTGGATCCATATCAAGAAGGCCTGAACAAGGTTTACCAAAGTCCGCAACAATGAATGAGGATCGTTATTTGGCACTTCCAGCGCAGCAATTCAGGATTACTTCAGCTCTCCCGTGAACTGTATGCTGCCACTGGAACTCGGAGTTTCACAGTCTATATAACGTGAAGATCTCGTGACACTGCTGTATGATAGAACATCCGCTGTTTGCGTCGTGCTGCTCACTGCAGCTCGCAAGACAGCACATTTAGCATGGTGCAGATAACATGCCCCTTGGACCAGACTTCAGTAAAGCATCGTGCTTTTTATAGATAAGTCAATGTTCAGTATTGATGCTGATTCTTGGTGTACCTACATCCAGAGAAAGCCTAGAACATGATACCATCCCTCTGTCAGAGAAAAATATCATTATGGTGCTAGAGATGTAATGTTTTGAGTTGGGATTATTATGTTGGATGGCTGCACAACCTTCCATGTGTTTGATAAAGGTTCCTTGACTGCTATGAGGTATAGAAAGGAGATCATAGAGCCCTACGTTCAACTTTTCTGGGGTGTAGTTGGTTCTGGGTTCCTGTTAATAGATGACAATTCTTGTCCACATATAGGGCACAGCTGGTTGACTTGGAAAGTGATAGTACTCACCACATAGACTGGCCAGTCATATCTCATGATTTTAACCGTATAGAGCATGTATGGGATACGCTTGGGAGAGAAAAATTGTCTCACCATATACCCCTTCAAGAACCAACCTTATTTAGACTCTTTTTCAGTTTGGTATCACAATGTGGATTTTAGACATCCTTTCACAATGAGCTTTACTGATAATTATGCAGCATATATAAAATGACTTTTGAATGGTACGCTGCCAAAAAAAAAAGACAGTTCTATATCTCCCGTTCTACTAGGCCGATTGACGAAATTCAAATTGCGTTCCTCATGTCTTGAAAGCGCGACTTAGGATATATATTAGATTTATATATATCTCTATTCTATCATAGTTTTTTTTTTACACGAAATCGGACTTTTTCTGAAATGACATACCAATTTTTTCCCATATTTCGATTATATGACTCAAATTATGCCTAAAGATGAAATTTTGTAAAATTTGGTGCAAAATTTATGGAGAAATTCAAAAATATATCTTGGCGCAATTTTTTCAATTTGCACCAAGAATAATTCACTTGGTGAACTTCTTAATATATGGCATCCTATTTTCCTTACCCTTCCATAATGCGAGAACGGAAAAAAAGGCACCTCTTTCCTATCTTTTTACATTGTAGATGAGCGGGAAAAAAGTCATATTGTTCTTACCTTCAAATAATTTTAACAAAGTGCGTAAACCACATTTTCGTTATTATCGCTTTCAGCAAATATGCCAATTTTCAAAATGTGCCAATATATGAATTCACATATATCTTCAGAAATTTTGAATAAAAAGCTCTAATTTTTTGCGGGTATGCTTAGAAATACATGATCGTAAAAATTTTATAGGGTATAATTCAAATTTTTTTTGAAAAATTAGAAA